TGGTGTTATTTCATTTTTTTTAAAAAAAATGATTGAATTTTTGTGTATTTCATACAGAAAATAATCTTTATGCCCCTTCCCCTTTGACACCTTCCCATAGCCCCCCCCCCGCCCTGGAGTTCATACATTATGTCATTTGTGTGAAGGCCTATCATGTAAAGTTAGTGTCCCCAGATGTCCCTCAGTGAAAGTCCATCCACTGGGATCTAGTTAGCCTATCTGTGGTTCCCCTTTTTACTTGGGAGTTGCTGCCTCTGCACTGGGCCTTCTTTTACAGCAGGTACTTTGGCAATAGGGTCATTGTGGGAAATCTTTATTTCATGTGGCTTGGCTAAAACCAAAACAACCTCAGCCTTTCTTCAGCAGTCTAAAACTAGTAATCAATGTACTAAGACACAGGAGCAGGGGAGAGATGCTCCACCACACTGTCAAGAGATGTGTAGGGTTGACAGTGGAATGTGAGAATGACTCCGATGGAAGATGTTTTAAAGACATGAAATAAGAGATGAATTGTAAAAGATATTGCAAGGTGGGAGGGTATGAAAAGACAGGGACACTTTTATTTGTTTTAAAATTCATTAAAATTACATTTATTTATTTATTTATTTATTTATTTTAATTAAGTGTATGCCATGGCATGAGTGTGGAGGCCAGAGGACAACTTGTGGGAGTCAGCTCTCATTTATTTATTTATTTGGGAGGGTGCATATATGGTATACATATGAAGGTTGTAAGACAACTTGTAGGAGTCAGTTCTCTCTTTCCATCATGTGGGTCCTAGGGATCGAACTCAGGTCATTAGGTTTGGCAGCAAGTACCTTTACCTGCTGAGCCATCTTGTGGACCCCCACCTTTCAAAGACAGATTAATTGGGAATGAACATTGCCACGGGAATACAATGTGTCACAGTAAGCCATGTGCATAAACTGGCAAAGAAAGCAGTCCTTTTTAATGGGAAAATGTACTTTTGAAAGTTATATAAGGTGATTGAAACGATTACCCTTAACTGTAACAGGGTGCTGGTAGTCCAAGGTAACAGTCAATTGCCAGCAGATGTCCTTGTGGGAGTTTATTCTGGGTAAGGTGGCAGTGACCTTTGTACAAGGCTGTGGTTCTGACAAGAGTCTCCCAGAATGGTCTTCTTGTCAGGCACGTGTGTGTGAGATGCCCTTCCTTGTAACACCTCAACTTTATTATTGTGAGCGTTTGACACATAAGACTTCACTTTGATTTTGACAGTTTTCCTAGGAAGAATTTTAGCCATCAAGGAAAATAAATGTGCTAGTGGATTGGGAATGGGCTGTGTTCAGAGACCTCCAGGCTCTGGTTATGTTAGTATACAGACTTGGGGCTGGGGGGCGTTTCTTAGATACGCAGCTGAGGGTATGAGTGTGTGTGTGTGTAAAATATCAGAGATTCCTCACTCTGAAATTCTATGATACTAAGCTTAAAATTCTCCATTTTGCTTATCAGTTAGCACGAGTTGGGATCCTCAGATGTGAGTGTATTTATAATTATCACGGACCACTACTGACTTTATGAAATAGGCAGCTCTTAGCTTATATTTTCTAAAACCTCTTCACTGTTTTAGTGAAACTGATTTTAAAATCACAGAAGTCTCTCTATATTTTTGTTTTGTTTTAGAGACAAGGTCTTACTGTGTACCCCCTGGTTAGTCTGGAACTCAACTATGTAGACCAGGCTGGCTTCAAACTCACAAATCCACCTGCCTCCATCTCCTGAGTGGTAGGACTAAAGGCGTGCACCACCATGCCTGGTCCCTAAAAGTACATTTAAAATATTTTATTTATTTATTATTTTATGTATATGACTGTACTGCTTGCGTGTGTGTAACTGTACTCTTTCCCATTGCATAAAATTTCAGCTTTGGGGGTATTTTCTTTTGTATATGTATATGTGGGGTGTGTGTGTATGTGTGTGTGCGTATGTTCATGTGTGGGGATGCACATGTATGCATTATGTATATATGGGTGCGGAGTCTTGATGCTGGGTGTCCTTTTTTTTTTTTTGAGACTGGATTTCACTATGTAGTCCTGGCTGGCTTGGAACTCACAGAGATCCACCTGCCTCTGTCTTGCAAGTGCTGGGATTAAAGGCGTTCTATACCATGCCCAGTTCCCGTGTCTTGATCGCTGTCTATTTAATGAGGCAAGGTCTTTCACTGACCCCAGAACTTGCTGATCAGTTAGTCTAGCTAGCCAGCTTTCTCCTGGGATCTCTTGTCTCTGCTTATCGAGGGCTGGGGTTAGAGGTCACCATGCCGGCCTGACTTTTGTGCATGGGTTCTGGGGATCCGAATTCTAGTTCTGATGTTTGCATGGCAAGTGTTTTATCTACTGCACCATTTCATCTCCCCAGCCGAATCATCCTTTTTTAAAGTTGTCTTGAAACAGGCAGCTGAAAGATAACATGAATTTGGTAAAATAGAGATGGAGACCTTTGTCCTGTTAAGTACTAACATTTTAGTTATCTCATTATTCCATTTGATAACATGTTAACGTTTGCTAGTTCCCAATGGTGACCTACACTGTTGATTGAAAGATTTTTCTGAATGTGCTTAAATCATATTAAATAGTGTCTCATGGTTTTAGATAGCATGTTGACATGGTAAATGCCAACCACATATCCTTTTTATAGAGCATGTTGTGTACCTACACATGTATGTGTGGAGATATACACCAGAGTGTGTTCTAGGAGGCCAAAGGAGGACCCCAGCTGGCCTGGAACTTGCATATGTAGACCAGGCTGGCCTTATTTATTTATTTATTTATTTATTTATTTTTCATTTATTGATAAGGTCTAATAGCCCAGGGTGGCTCACCACTCATTTTATAGCTTAGCTGGCTTCAACCTCATGATTTTCCTGCCTCAGACCCCATGTTGTGAGAGCTGGTGATGTTTGTGGAAATTGGTAGAATACGTAGGTAGTGAATGTACACGTGGTGGAGGAATTAGGGCTTAGTATAGATAGATACCAGAAGACCTCCAACATTTGGTCTTGGAGGAAGGTATTGGAGGAAGAACCAGCCAATTAAACCAAGAAAGGGAGAAAGTGGCCATAGATATAAAGAAAATATAAACAGTGCGGTGTCATGTTGGGCTCATCAGCCCAACATGACGTTTCTGTGGTATAGAAAAGATGGAGATTATTGGCTTTATTGGATCGGGCAGGAGGTTACCAAAGACCTTTGTGGTAGCAGTTTTTCTGGAATGCTGAGCATGCAGGCCAAATTGAAATAAATGGAAATATAGGCACTTTGATTTGGGGCAACATGTTAGATTAATTATTTTGGAAAAGTCTATATAAATTTTCTGGAAGTTTGAAATATTTTGAATTATCTTAAATACATGTTAGTACCTCTCCCATCCCCCCCAAAGACATTTCTGGGGGTGAAGAAAAGAGAATCAACCATGGGATCTTGTGTGTGTTTGAGGGTGAGCATGCCCTTGTATGTGAATGAAGGCCAGAGAATAACCTTGGGGGCGGTGTTCTCAGGAGCCATCTATCTCACTGACCAGAGGCTACAAAGTAGGCTATACTGTCTTTCCAGTGAACCCCAGGGATCTGCCTGTCTTGGCCTCTCCAGGGCTGCAAGTGTGTACTGTTCTTCTCAGTTTTCTATATGGGCTCTGGGAATTGAGCTTGGGTCCTCATGCTTGCATAAGTAAGCACTTTACCAACTTATCTCTTTCTTTAGCACAACCACAGGATCTTAAATTATTTCTAAAATTATAATTTATAATTATATTAAAATTACAATTTTGTCTCAGAAAAAAAAAAGGAACTAAGACTCCCTCTTCCCTGATGGAGTTGGACTCTCCACAGGGTGGCCTGTTGACTGTAAAGAAAGAATTACTCTACCACAAGGATAAACTTCTCTCTTGACCTGGCCTCTGGATGGAGAAAACTTAGGAACTCTTCCTTAGAATTGAAAAGCACACTTTGTCGCACATGTATTTGGGTCTAAATTATTCCCAGATAATAAATTACAGTATGTGCAGGTTGATAGATACAAGGGTATCTAACAGAATCAAAGCAAATCCTCTTTGGAAGAGCACATTCTCCATGTGGGCATCCTGAGCCTCTCCAGAAATGAGCTCACAACTGAAAATGACAAGACACAAAAGGGAATGCCACTTGCTAAGTCCATAGAAGACAATAAACTCCAGAGCTAGAGTCTCAAGAGCATTATTGGATATAGAATACTAAAGTATGCTTAAGATGTTAAATGGTAGAAAGAAAACTTGGAAGAGCAGACTATCACCTCCAAAACCAGATGATTTGAAAGGACAAGATGGTGCTTCTAATTACAAAAATGTACTATTTAAAAGAGCACATCTGCTGGGGATGTAGCTATGATGGAGTGTAAAGCTCTGGGTTTGGTGATCCCCAGCAACACAAGACATCAATAAATCAATTAATCACTTCAGTGATGTTTAAACTGCAGACTAAATACAACTGAAGCAAGCATCAGAACACTGAGAAGAGCTCAAGAACAAGCATGTGGAGGTCCAGGGGCATGTACTGAATGGGAAGGTTTATCGTGTCTAAATGAAGAGAATGTTGGGAAGAGCATATTCCAAGGGCAAGCGTGGGAATCTTCTGGAGGCCGTGAAATTCAAGGGACCCCTATTCTGAAATCTCAGGGCACCCTATGCAAGACCAGCAGATCTACCCTGCACACACCAGCCGGGGGGATATCACAGGACCATAAGGAAGAGATTTGTGTAGGGCTTTCGCAAGGATAAGACAGAAGAGCGACAGGTGGGGCTGCTGAGGCGCTGGAGCCCGGAAGCCCGAACACAGAGCCGGCAGGGCACCTTAGGTTAGTAGAGCCTCTTCCAGAACATGCAGGAGGATACAGGAAGGGCTCTTTGCAGGACTGTCCCTTGAAAGGGACTTCACAGTGTGGGGCTGGACTGGGCCTGCGCCGGTTCGACAGGAAGCGCGCAGGGTCTCGACCCCCCCCCCCCCCCCCCCCCCCCCCCGCCCGGCCGCGAGCTCAGTGGCAGTAGCGGCCGGCGAGCCCGGGTGCGCCGTCGGTTCTCGAACGCGACCGCTGAGGAGCCCGGCGCCATGTTGGATCGGAGGGGTAACTGGGCAAGCGATTGAGGCGGCGGGCTCGGAGCGGAGCGGGGCCGACAGGGCCGGCCGACAAGAGCCCGCCCCTCCGGCCCTCGGATCATGAGCGGGGCGGAGGCGGCGGAGGCCGCGGAGGTCGCGGTGGCGGGGCAGGTGCCCTGGCGGCGCGGGAGCTAGAGATGATGCAATTTGCGGTGACCACCCAAGGAGCACACCACCAGCCTCCGGCCCTGAAGCAATACGGCTTCTCGTCCCCTATCAGCCTGGCCACCCCCAAGGCGACGGACCGTGAACTCACCCAGAAGCTGATCGAGACCCTCAAGCCCTTTGGCGTGTTTGAAGAGGAAGAGGAACTGCAGCGCAGGATTTTAATTTTGCAAAAATTAAATAATCTGGTGAAGGAGTGGATCCGAGAAATCAGTGAAAACAGGAATCTTCCACAAGCTGTAATTGAGAATGTTGGGGGGAAAATATTTACGTTCGGCTCTTACAGACTAGGCGTACATACGAAAGGTGCTGATATCGATGCATTATGTGTGGCACCAAGACATGTGGATCGGAATGACTTTTTCACCTCGTTCTATGATAAATTGAAACTACAGGAAGAAGTCAAAGATTTAAGAGCTGTTGAGGAGGCCTTTGTGCCAGTTATCAAACTGTGTTTTGATGGGATAGAGATTGATATTTTATTTGCAAGATTAGCATTGCAGACTATTCCAGAAGATTTGGACCTAAGAGATGACAGTCTACTTAAAAATTTAGATATTAGATGTATAAGAAGCCTTAATGGTTGCCGGGTAACTGATGAGATTTTACATCTAGTACCAAACATTGACAGCTTCAGGTTGACACTGAGAGCCATCAAATTGTGGGCCAAATGCCACAATATCTATTCCAATATTTTAGGTTTCCTTGGAGGTGTTTCCTGGGCTATGCTAGTGGCCAGAACATGCCAGCTTTATCCAAATGCAATAGCATCAACTCTTGTACGTAAATTTTTCTTGGTATTTTCTGAGTGGGAATGGCCAAATCCTGTATTATTGAAGGAACCAGAAGAGCGGAATCTTAATTTGCCTGTATGGGACCCAAGAGTGAATCCCAGTGACAGGTACCACCTCATGCCTATAATTACACCAGCATACCCACAGCAGAACTCCACATATAATGTGTCTGTGTCAACCAGGATGGTTATGATTGAGGAGTTTAAGCAAGGGCTTGCTATCACACATGAAATTTTGCTAAATAAAGCAGAGTGGTCCAAACTTTTTGAGGCTCCTAGCTTTTTTCAAAAATATAAGCATTACATTGTCCTTCTGGCAAGTGCACCAACTGAGAAACAGCATTTAGAATGGGTGGGCCTGGTAGAATCCAAGATCCGTATCCTGGTTGGGAGCTTGGAGAAGAATGAGTTTATTACGCTGGCACATGTGAATCCCCAGTCATTTCCAGCGCCCAAAGAGAATCTTGACAAGGACAAATTTCGTACAATGTGGGTGATCGGCTTAGTGTTAAAAAAGCCAGAAAACTCTGAAATTCTTAGTATTGATCTGACCTATGATATTCAGTCTTTCACAGATACAGTTTATAGACAAGCGATAAATAGTAAGATGTTTGAGATGGAGATGAAGATTGCTGCCATGCATTTAAGAAGAAAGGAGCTTCATCAGCTACTTCCTAAGCATGTGCTTCAGAAAAAGGAAACACATTTAACAGAAGGTGTTAGATTGACAGCCATGAATGACAGCAGCCTTCTCTTGTCTGTGGATGGTGAGAACAGCGTGTGTGTGTCATCACCTACCAGCACTATGAAAACTGCCTCATTGGCTGGGAACCCTCAGGGCAGAAACAGTCCTGCCCTGGCTGTAATGGCAGCATCTGTGACCAGCATACAGTTTCCTGAAGTTTCCTTGCAGCATGTGAATCCCATAGAAAGCTCAGGGATTGCACTGAGTGATAGCGTTCCTCAGATTCCCTCACAGCCTACCATTGCCCCTCCACCTAAGCCTAGCATGAACAGAGTTGTTTCTTCAACACATCTGGTAAACCATCCATCTAGACCTTCAGGAACTACAACGACAAACATACCTAACCCTATACTAGGAGTCTAGAGGCCATTCTCACCTAATAAAAGAAGAAAGGACCAAGAAAAATCACAACAGAAGGGGAGGAATCAGATAAAGCAATGCAGCTCAGAAACTCTTGAGACACCAGCTTCTTTATTGGCCTCAGGAAACAGCTGGGAACAGAAACCCAGTATCCCTCCTCTTCCTGGAGATCCTCTTCCTGCTGGCAAGAATTCAGTAAATCTGAATGGATAAAAACCATCTCAGAAGGCCTGTAAATGAATTTTTGCAAATTGAACCTGTTGCCTTCAAATGTCAGAGCAGGATGAGGATACCAGGCTAAATATGGCACAGAATGGAGTGGTGCTCATTTGAGAACATCCTTTACTGGCTCGATCTTGCCCTGAAGTCCAGATTACTGTGTGAAACCTGGCGTACTCTTATTTATGCCTCAGAGTATTAATGGGTCACCAGCAGTTAAATGAATTATTGCAGACTCCTACTCTTAGAAGACAACCCTCCAGCTATATTTCTATTGATGTATTGAATTTATGTTTGATCTGTTGTTGGAAAAATTTGCAATACGAACTAGTAACTGAACTCCTTATATTAGTATGCAATTTATGACTTTCTTTTTAGGAATTAGAACTAATTTTTAACTCTTCACTTTGGTGAATTTTCATGTGTGGATGTGGAGTGTGGGTATGGGTGTGGGGTGTGGGGTGTGGGTATGGGTGTGGGCGGTTCCCCTGCAGAGGTTGCCTTACTAGTAATCTTTAACTGGGATGCTATTTGTGTAGAAATACATGTAAGAGAAAGCAGAAAACTATACCTGTATCTCAGTCCCCAGGAATAGCTGCACTCTTTAAAATGAAATGTCTGCCAACTCCTGGGGGCATACATTTGATGTCAAAGCAATAATTACCATGTCTTTGGTTTTGGTGGGACATGATCAAGAAATGACACATCATTTTTTTCCTGTAGAAGAGTTTTGGAGAATGTCTAATCAGGGACTAGATATTATAATTTGTCCTCAACCAAAAAGCCTTTTGCTCCATCCTCTTTTTGTTTTTTGTACAAAGTATAACTTACCTGTTTTTTTCTTAAAAACCCGCAATATTGATATTTAAGCCATGATATAAATGCAACCATTTTATGGCCACATGGCACAAAACACCAAATTCCAACTTTGTGACTAATAATAAACCTTCAGTCAGTGGTATATCTGTGAAAAACAGTACTGATATTGGATAACCATTTGATCTCCATATATGTGAGAGTTTACGTATATTAGACTATCTGTTTTAGAAAAAGCTAGTTTCCAATTTGAAGCGTGTAGGAAAAGAGGTATTTTTCCTCCAAGAATTTCAAACCAATTTTTGCTTTTTAATGGCATATTAGAATTCATCAGATTTTATGTGTACAGTCATGCAAAAAAATAATTGCTGCAAAGTACTTGGTATCTAGCTGACTTTTTACTCTTATCTTACCAGTTATTAGGGGTACATTAAAAAAAAGGAAAACCAAACCCCTTCGCAGTAAAGCGGCAGAATACCAACAGATGTCTTTGAATGATAGCTTGGTCTTTCTTAGCCCTGACACAAGAAACTTAACAGGTTTTTCCAGTAGCCTGGTTTTGTCTCCCCCATCCATCCAAAATTGTGTCACTTTCTACTCTGCCCATTTTTTCCTTCATGTCAAACCACAAGTATTTTAACCTCATTTGTCCTAGATTAATTTTTTGATGTTGGGCTGTAGTCTTTTGCCTTGTAAGCCATGCAGTAATTGAGACTTTCTGATACCTAGGATACAGTAATCTCTTTTTCTCATACCTTCGCCCTGTGCAAGTCACCTTCCCCTTCCACCAGAGTAATAAATCAGGTGAAAAGCACGCAGTTGCTGCACTTTGAATAGCTACTGTGTCTGAGACTGCCAGGCACAAATTTAGCCTTGTCATTTTGTTTATACATTGGAAAAAACTTCATTCATTAAATGTTTCATGTAACTATACCTGTTTTTGACTGAGCTGGAAACTTGGGACTTTTTAAGTCTAATTTTTATTTCTTGAATAGCAGACTATTTTTTCATGTGATGTGCAAGTGTCTCATGACTGGGGTTTGCTCTGTTCTGTGGTATCTGTACTCCTTGTATTTTTGAGCACCATTTGGAAAACAGATAATGTATTTCTCCATTACAAACACAATAAAAATAAATGCCAAACCACCTGAAACTAATAATACTGGATAATAATGTTTAAGTCTGATGGTAAGAGTTCATATTTTTTTTTAATGGTCCTGGAGATGGAACCCAAGCACTACCACTAACCTGCATCCCCAGCCCCAGATGTTAAACTGATCTGAAGGATGTGTAGGCACTGATGAATTTTTCAGCTTTATGAAGTGTAAAATGTATGATACGTTAGGGGATGCACAAAGGGTCCAATTGTCAAGCCAAGAAAGACTTTAAAATGGAGTTAAAGCTTTATACATAAGACAGGAATTGAGGCATGCTGGTGCCATGCCTGAAGCCACAGCTTTGGGAAGCTGAAGTGTAAGAGGATTTATATTCAGGAGATGGAGATCAGTTCATGATCAGTGAGACCTGGGGCAGGGGGGTGAGGCATGAGGAGGAGGGGGAGGAGGAGCGGGAGGAGGAAGAGATTGTTAGTATGGAGGAGGAGATTGTCAGTATGGAGGAGAAGGAAGAGGAAATTGTCACCTTTAGAGGAGGAGGGGGAAAGGGAGGAGGAGGAGGGGAGCAGTAAGTAGAGATTGTCAGTGTCCATTGCTTATGAGAAACCGCCAAGATGTCAGGATGTGGAAGTGCAAATGAAATGCTAATCAGAAGCTGACACAGTGGCAGGGATGGGCAGGCAGCTTGCATTACTGATAAATTGTACAACAGCAAAATGGGATGCTTTATGACATTCTTACCCCAGATTACTTAGTTTCAACAGAAAATAACAAATGTTAATAGAGATTTCAAAGTGCATTGTGCAAAATTTTAAAATAGCACCTTTCATCAATATCTGCCAGCAAAAAGTAGAGATGCATGCCTCTGAATGCAACCTCATGCAGTAGTGGGTGAACTTTGCTTTGGGAGGTCGCTGTCACAACCACTTAACTCTGACTTGTAGGGCACCAGCAGATGGCTCAGGCTGGATTTGTCACCCCCTGCAAGTGTCTGCCACCAATAATCGCATGGACATGTATTATAGACCCCTTTACCCAACAACTGGAAAATCCAAGCTGTTCTCAGGTAACTACTGGGCATGTGTAAAAACTCCATTTTAGGTCAGAAAGTAAGGGTGAACATATTTCTAAGTAGTAATATATGATCGTAATGGCATAAGTTAGAAATCAGTAAGAAGCCAGGGCCAATGAGGTGGCTCATCAGGTAAAGGCACTTGCTGCATAGACATGATGACCTGAGTTTGATCCCCAGATCTCACATGGTGGAAAGAACCAACTCTGGAAACTTGTCCTCTGACTGCCATGTTCCAGCCATAGCACATATGTGCCCACTTTCACACACACAAATTTAAAAGAAAAACAGGCCGTGTATGGTGGCACATGGCTCTAATCCCAGTACTCAAGAGGCAGAAGTAGGAGGCTGATGAGGTCAGCCTGCACTTACGTGCTTCACCTTCCAGTCAATCCCTTCAGTAATCTGCAAGCAGCGAGCAATGAATGAATGCTGCTGCTCAGTGCCCTTTCTCCACTTACACAGTCCAGGACCCTAGCTAGGGAATGGTGCCACTCATGATGAGTAGCTCTTCCCAACACAGCCAAACCCCCACTGACATGCCCAGAGATCCACTCCCAGGTGACTCTAGATTCTGTCAAGTTGACAACAGTAATCATCACAGGCATTAGTATAAATGAAAGATTAGTGACTGTTAGAATCCAGACTAACCACTCCCTTTGGTGGGGAGAGTTGGGAGAGCCACAGCTCCCATACCAAGTAGCACATCAAGTAGTTGATGGGGTGGTTTTCCTGGCCCTGGGTTGTTTCCTCCTTCAGCTCCACTGTGCTAGCTGGTGCCTTTCATCTTCAAGGCTACTTAAGGTGCAGGATGATTTGGAGAAAGGCCTAAAATGTCCCTGGTGCATTACTTATTTTTCTCATTGCTGTGACCAGATAGCAAGAAGTAACTTAAGGGACTGGAGAGACGGCTCAGCAGTTAAGGGCATTTGCTGCTTCTGCACAGGACTCTAGTTGGGCTCCCAGCACCCATATCAGGTGGGTCACAACCATCTCTAACTCCAGGAGGACCCAAAGTCCTCTTCTGATCTCTACAGACATACTCATGTACACATACACATATAAATAATAAATAAATCTTTAAATACTAGGAGATGGAGAGATGGCTCAACAGTTAAGAACACTTAACTATTCTTGCAGAGGACCTGAGATTGGTTCCCAGCATCCATATCAAGTGATTCACAACTGCCTGTAACACCTGCTCCAGGGGGATTTGATGCTTCTGAGGATACCTGTACTCATGCACAGACATAAATTCACATGATTGAAAATAATAAAAAATAAATCTTAGGAAAATAGTTTTTAAAAAGAAGTAACTGGGGGCTGAAAAGATGGCTCAGTAGTTAAGAGCCCTGACTATTCTTGTAGAGGACCTGGGTTTGATTCCCCATATATACATGGTAGCTAACAACTGTCTGTAACTACAGTTCCAGGGACTCTGATGGCCTCTTCTGACCTCTGTGGGCATTGCACGACATGGGTGCACCTGCCTACATGCAGACATTATGCACATAAAAATAGTAAATAAAATGTTAAAAAAAAGAAGTAACTTAAGGGAGGAAGGATTTCTTTTGGGTCAGGGTTGAGGGACTATAGTTTATCATTGTAGGGAATGCATGATGGCAGAGTGGCTCACAGCTGTGGCAGCAGGAACATGAAGATGCTTTCTCACATCTTGGTGGACCAGGAAGCAGAAATGAGACAGGAAATTGTGTTGAGCTGTTAACCTCAGGGTCTGCACCAGAGCTATCACTTTTTCCAGCTAATTCCTATACCTCCCATAGGTGCTGGGTTTCAAGTGCTCCAACACATGAGCCTGTGGGGGACATTTTACATCCAAACCACAAAGCCCTATGTATTAGTTATTTTTCTGTTGCTTTGCAAAATACCCTGACAAAAGTACCTTAGGATAGAATGTTTGGGGCTCACAATTCCAGATGGCAGTCCATCATTTTGGGGGTATCAAGGTTGACAGAAACAAAAAGCAGTGGTTACATTGTATCCATACTCAAGAGCAGAGAGCTGTGAATCCATCCATGCATGCTACTGCTCAGCTGGCTCTCTCCATTCTTTTGTTCCAATTAGTTAATTAATTATTATGAAATATATTTGCTCATAGTCAGGGTGAGTCTTCCTGTCTCTTTGGAAACTCCCTCACTAACACACTCAGAGGTGTATCTCCTAGGTGATTCCAAATCCTGTTACATTGGCAATGAAGCTTAACCATCACTATACAAAGAGGTGTCCTCCTCCCATGGATCATGTCCCAGTAGGAGCATCCTTCATCCTTCATCAACTGGAACTTACAGAAGACAAGGCCTGTTTGCTAGGGACATGGGAAAATGTCGTCAGTGACACAGGGATTATGCTGTTGGGACGAGGACAGGACAGATGTTGAAAGGCCATTACAGTTTTCTTTGTCACAAACATTTTGAAGTTCAAGAGCACTTCCAAATTTAAC